ATATTGTATCGTGATCCCTCTGTCACGATATGTATCATATCGCCAAATTCTTGCCAATACACAGCCCTAATATTTAGGTCCCTTAATACTAAAGCACTAATGCACTGAGAGTTTTAGCAAACGCTCATTCTAAAGCACTAAAATAACCCAGTCAACCCATGAACATTCTTCAACAGACAACAAGAGTCACATGTTGCTCTCTCAAGACTTATCATTGATATTCCACAGTCATACTTGAGTTCATATATTGTCACCTGGTGGATTAGTGACACATTTGAACAAAATGTGTGACAGCTTTCACCGTCAACTGTTAACATTTACGTTGATCAATAACATGTATAGACCTATTAGCGTTTCTAAATTTAGTCTGTAAATTTAGCAAGTGCTAATCCACTAATAAATCTTAAAATTAGCAAAAGCACTAATCAGGAAATTAGTTCCCCTATTAGTGCTTTAGGGGAACTGTGCCCAGYACTGGGTAGATTATTTCATTGTAACAATTCTTCTTGGCAATAAACCTTATACYGTTGGAAACTCTGTTGATTTTCCTTTTAAATGGTGCCACATTTGTAAGGAACATGCTTTTGTTGGATGAGCAGTGGAGCACAGTGTTGCGCAGATGAAAAATTAAAAAATTTCTCCGCCCAACAACTTATTCTCTTGTTGCTATTGACTTTTGTTTTGGGCGTCTGGTACCCCCAGGTGCTGCCAATCACGTGCCTGCTTTAATATTTATTGCCAAGAAGCATTGTTACGACTAAAAAATAATCTACCAAATATAACATTTCTTTACTTTTTTGCTAAATACAATTAACTTGTTTTGTTCCTGAACACTTTTAAACAAATGTAGAAGTMAGAAATGCAAAAGAAGTTGTTATTATCAGGTGAAATCACAACTTTTCAGAAATCCAGTTTGACTAGAAAACTTAGGTTTGACAGACAGAGGTGAAAGATTAATGAAAAAAATGATTGGTATTAGAAAGTAAACCAGTAAGTCTTAATACTAAAAGTTAAAGATGATACGATGGGAAAAATAAAACAATAGAAATAAAATGCTTTTAAAATCAGAGTAACTGACCTCCGATGTGAAGACTTTTAGTGAAAATGTCCCACTGCTGCTCGGGTCTGTGTCTCCGTCAGCTCATAGAGAAGAGGATCATGCATTTTCTCTCAGGCTCTAACATGTTGTGGTTCCACAACAGAGTGAGAGAGAGAGAGAGAGAGAGAGAGAAAGGTGTGTCCTTAGTGGAACTCTAACTCCCCTACTTTTTCATCTTAAGTGCTCTGCAGCTTCAGCTCCATATACAGTATGATCATCGTGGTGATTTATCTCACATAAAAACATTTACAGAAATTATTTTGAAACTAAACATGCATTCTTATCGGAAGTCATCCCATTTGTGTGTCCTCAAGCATCCTTTTTATGTCTTCTTAACTTTCACCCCCGGTGCCTTGTGTTGTGAAACGAGTGATTCAGGAGCTTGCACAAGCCCTCCCGAGTCACTAGTATCGAACACGCAAGCACGAACACGAATGTGGAGCTGGCGTCTAAAACTCACTGTCACCGGTTCAAACAAGTCTTTTTTTTCTTTCTTTTTTTTTTTTTTACAGGAAAGCTGGGTTCCATGAAAGGGTGGAGGTGAGCAGGAACAAGTAGTCTTTGAAGTCAGTGGTCGTTCAGAACAAATACCACCTCGTAAAATACTAAACTCTTCAAGTTTCACCTTTATGGGACATTAAAAACCAGGCTTGTATTTCATTCTTTTACAAACAATCTGACGTAAACAAACAAACTAAACCTAAAAAAAACACCAAACTGGCATTGTCTCTTCTGTCCACAGGTTTAATGCATGGAGGAGACAGTGTGGAGACACAGGCGGCTCGTTGTTGCTGTGCTAACTTCACACATTAACAAATCAGACGACAAACTGAGGCCTGGTCAGCTGAGCCCACCTTCAGTGAGGGCGTCTAAAACAGCCGAAATCCAGCGAATTTTAATCGTTTAAACATCAGTTTTCATAATTTGATGACATTTTCTAGTGATGCAGATCAGTTTAGCTCCTTCAGAGAGGAAGTTAAAGTGTATATTACCCCACTGTGAAAAGATAACTCCGCCCCAAGGCGAAATTTGAAAAATGCATCAAAGTGGGAGGGAGAGGGAGGGGGTTTAGAGAGCGGAGGTGTGGCCAGGACGAGAGAACGTGACAGGCAGCTAGCATTAGCATAATTGATGCTACATGGAGAGTGACCACAGTATCGCAGATAGTTACATCTCTGAACGTCTGAGGTGGAGGATTTTCACCCCACACCAGCACCAGACAGAGGAGGAGGAGCGCTCCGACAGCCTGACAGAAAAAAATAAAAGCATACAGCTGCAGCTCACAAGATCGCTAGTTTAAATCAGGAATAAAAGTTTTGGGTCTTGTTTGACTGAAGTTTGGTCCAGTTCACATACATTTCAACCTCTTTGGACGTTTACATGTATAAAGAGCCCTAAAAATCCATAAATTTTGCAAAAAAGTCCATACAACTCGCACCCGCGGGGGGTGGGGGGTGGGGGGGGTGTCAGCTGTAGACATGAAAGCGCCTGCTGCTAAGCAGGAGGAAAGGAGAGAGGAAAAAGTAACTTATTTCTAGGGGCAGAACAGGTTGGAAGATGGCTGTTTGATGTTATT